TTTAAAAAAAAAAAAAAAAAAAGTTTATTTTTTTTTTTTTTTTTTTTTATTACTTCCCAGTGTAAAACAGAGGACATTCAAGTAGAAACTCCAACTTCCTGCTCTAGCCTCTAAATACTTATCCTGAACTTTGGGTTTCTAGATCCACCAATTTCAGGCTACATGGGTTCCTGGTCTACCAATCACCAGCTGTATAACTTAGAGCAAGTTACGTAATTTCTCTCAGTTTCATCATCTGGAAAATGGGAGTAATCATAGTATTTAACTGATTGTATTGTTGTGAGAATTTATTCATTCAACAACAAATATTTATTGATCACCTGCTGTGTGCCAACGTACTGCTCTAAGTGCTTGGATATATCAGTAAACAAAACAAAGATCCTTATACTTGGTGGATTAATTTTTTTTTAAGGCTTTTGATACTAAATGCCAAACTCCTTTTGAGAAAGGTGCCAATTTATACTCCGAGCAGTAGGCTGTGAGAGGGCCCCACTTACCAGAGAGGAAACAAGAGGTACCAAATACCTCCACATCCAAAATGTATTTTGCACTTCTTTACTGCCAACTTAAATCCTCATATCTATCAAAGATAATTTTACAACCTTAATCAACTTTGTTTTTTGTTTTTGTTTTTGGTGGCTGGGCCAGTCTAGGGATCAGAATCCTTGACCTGGTGTTTTAACAACATATTGTAACCAACTGAGCTAACCGACCAGCCTCTTCGTTGTATATCTTATAGGGAAATATGGTTAATGACATTCTGAAGACAGAGGAGCACTCCTGAATAGGTCCAGAGTCATTTGTTAACCTGGAAAAGTGAGAGGGCCCATATTTGCTTTCTATTGACCAGAAATACTTTCTCTTTTGAGAATAATTATCATTGGCATCTAAGTGTTTTAAAAAGGGGAGAGAAATTTTAAAAGGAGCAGAAAGTGAAAAGAGGAAAATGAAGACTTAGGGATAAGTTAGCAGAACATGGTTTGGGAAAATAAAAATTTTCTTTTCTTTTTTTTTTTAAAAAGATGACCGGTAAGGGGATCTCAACCCTTGACTTGGTGTTGTCAGCACCACGCTCAGCTAGTGAGCCAACCGGCCATCCCTATATAGGATCCGAACCTGTGGCCTTGGTGTTATCAGCACCGCACTCTCCCGAGTGAGCCACGGGCTGGCCCTAAAATAAAAATTTTCTATCAAGTCTGCTAGGTATAGAGCTACCTGATGTTTAGCCACTAAAAATGAGAATAGTTATATGAAATGAAAAGAGATATAACTGAGAACAGACTGTTAATGGTTGTTATAGCTTCATAACTTGAAATAAGGACATCCCACTGGGTCGCTCTTTGTATAATATCTTTGTTTTATTTTCTGTTCATTACTATTGTTTCAAAATCTCATTAATATGTTAGTAGGGCCTACTATAACCCTGTGAAAGAACATTATTTTGGAAGTTGGAAAATAAAAATTCTGTGGCAGTGTCAATAGGTCTGGGTCATGAAGTAATTTATTCAAATTTTTAATGGTTATAAATAATCATTATGCTTTTAAAAATTATAAAATGCTGTTTTTCTGTGCTTGAGAACATTTTCTAATTTAAGATGTAAAAGCATTTATGTGTAACATTGCATATTTAATGAGATCATTTCTCATTTGTCTTTGAAGCTCTATGTGGACAGATTGTTCAATTCAAACTTTCAGACATTGGAGAAGGGATTAGAGAAGTAACTGTTAAAGAATGGTAAGTTAATCTGAAAAAAAGATTGTAAGTGAATATAAAAATAATTTAAGTACAAATAAGTAGCAATCAATTTAATCTGAGAACTTTTTTTTATATGAAATATAATGCTTTTAAAAATAATTTTTGTATTTTGGTGGCTGGCCAGTGCAGGGATCTGAACCCATGACCTTGGTGTGATAAGGCTGTGCTCTAACCAACTGACTAACTATAAAGTCCTATAAAGCTTTTTTTAAAGCAGTAAGGTAGAATTACTTTGTGTTGACAATATGCTGGTGACAGAATTTATCGTACATTAAGGTATTTTATTAAGGATTTTTTTTCCCTCTTTAAAAAAAAAAAATTCCTGGGCCGGCCTGTGGCTCACTCGGGAGAGTGTGGTGCTGATAACACCAAGGCCACGGGTTTGGATCCCATATAGGGATGGCCGGTTAGCTCACTGGGTGAGCATGGTGCTGACAACACCAAGTCAAGGGTTAAGATCCCCTTACCGGTCATCTTTAAAAAAAAAAAAAATCCTTTTCTGCCCACCTCTCACTTGAACTAAAAAGAGAAATTAACCTCTAAAAGATGATAAACTGACATAAGACCATGTCTTTAAAACCATTTAATGTATAAACTTACAATTTCCTTCCAAATTATTATAAAATCATCATGTAATCTAAGCTTTCTTTTTCTTTTTTTTCTTTTCTTTTTTTTTTTTTTTTTTTTTTATAAAGATGACCGGTAAGGGGATCTCAACCCTTGGCTTGGTGTTGTCAGCACCACGCTCAGCCAGTGAACTAACCAGCCATCCCTATATAGGATCCGAACCCATGGCCTTGGTGTTATCAGCACTGCACTCTCCCGAGTGAGCCACGGGCTGGCCCTTAAGCTTTCTTTACTGTAGTGAAAGTGACTTCAGTCGGTACTGACTTCAGTAAGAATATTAAGTATTTTTGATTCACCATTACCCGACAGAGTTTGCCTGTATGTTTAGAGCAGGTTAAAATACGTTACCAGGGCCAGCCCGGTGGCGCACTGGAGAGTGTGCCGCTTGGGAGCGCGGTGGCACTCCCGCTGAGGGTTCGGATCCCATGTGGAGACCGGTTCCTGCTCACTGGCTGAGCGCGGTGCTGGCGCAACACCGAGGGTTGCGATCCCGTTGCCGGTCCCCGGTATGGGCGCAACACCGAGGGTTGCGATCCTGTTGCCAGTCAGTAAAAAAGACAAAAAGGAGAAAAAAAAATATGTTACCAAAAGCACAAATCAAAAAATAATTTTTGAAACCGTTAAAAAGTTAACAAAAAAATGGGCAAGAATTCTAGAAGTAGCAGTTAAGATTGAGTAAACAGATTTTTTTTTCTTTTTTTCCCCACCATAGTTTTATACTGTTACAGATCCTTTTAAGAATTTGATTCAACCACGTGGACATTCTTTTCCTGCACTTCTTATCCTTATTGCTTTGTAAGTTAAAGGAAAACTGTAAAAAAATAAACATACCTTACAGTTCTGTCTCTAGTGGCATAGTGGGATTGTGGAAAGAGCAATGGGCTTCAAATCAGAAGAGCCTGACCTGGAAGCTTGTTAGCTGTCTTACCTGTCTACTGAATCTCTGCCTCTTAATGTGTAAATGAGGGTAATAGTACTTGCTCTGCCAACTCACAGGGGTTGTTGAAGGGATCAAATAACGTAATGTATAGGAAATGCCTTTAAAGTCTGTTAAGTATTATGCACATTTAAGTTATTGATACCTTCTTTCTATGACCAAGTCTACTGTCTAGATTTTTTATTTTTGATTTTTTTAACATTTCTCAATTTCTACCTCTTATTCATTCTCTAGATTCATATGCCAAGGATAGGGTTTAAGGCTCTTGGAAGAAGGAATCAATTCATCCTTAATGAAATTCTAATAGTTCTTTAAATGAGAAATCATCTGATTAATTTTTCAGAAGTTGTTTTAGAAATATTAAGAGCTTCTCTGAACTCTGTGTGTCTTTTCTCTAACTTAATATCTATAAATAACTCAAGGAAAAAATTCATATGTATTTTATTGCACTTGGTAAAATGCTAAGAAGCAGAGTTCTGTTCTATAGACTGCAGCCTGAGAATAGAAATTTGAATATGTGGGGAAAGCATAATTCAACAGAAGATAATGTGGTTTTGTATAAAGGGCAGTAAAACCTCACTTATTCTTAGAATTAGTGGGAACAAATCTATGGGTAAGTAAGAAAAATACGTAAATTTCAAAAAGACTAACAAAGTTCTGAAACAAGTTTGGATTTTATATGTGCTTTTGTCTTAAAGACTATTTTGTCTGATATTAGTATAGCCACTACAGTTTACTTTTGGTTACTGTTTGCATGATATATCTTTTTCCATTCTTTTACTTTCAACCTATTTGTGCCTTTGAGTATAAAATATATCTTTTTTTTTTTTTTTTTCTGATAGCTGGCCGGTATAGGATTTGAACCCTTGACCTTGTGTTATAACGCCATGCTCTAACCAACTGAGCTAACTGGCCAGCCTAAAGTATATCTCTTGTAGATAGTATATAGTTGGATCATTTTTAAAAATCCATTCTGCCAATCTCTGCCTCTTTATTGGAGTGTTTAAAACTTTTACTATGTATTTTTAAGTTATTTTCTTAGTGGTTGCACTGAGGATTACAATTTACAGGTTAATCTACAACAATGTAGTTTGGGTTAATGGCAACTTAATTTTAATATACAAAAACTTCGCTGCAATAGAGCTGTGTCCCCTCCTTTATGCTATTACTGTCATATGTATTCCATCTTTAAACATTATAAGCCCATCAACACAGTTTTATAAGTATTGCTTTAATGCAGTTTGTCTTATAAGTCAGATAGGATAAAAAAGAGTTAAAAACAAAATGCATATATACTGTTTTTTGTATTTACCTATGTAGTTACCTTTACTGATATTCTTTCTTTTTCTTTCTTTTTTTTTCTTTTGCACCTGGCTGGTAAGGGGATCAAAACCCTGGACCTTGGTGTTACAACACCGTGATCTAACTCTAACCAACTGAGATAACTAGCCAGCCCCTGGTATTTTTTATTTCTTTATGTGTATTTGAGTTACTGTCTAATGTCCTTTCATTTCTGCCTGAGACTCCTTTTAGTACTTTTTGCAGGGCAAGTGTGCTAATGTCAACTTTTCTCAGTTTTGGTTTATCTGGGAATATATTAATTTTTCCTTCATTTTTGAAGAATAGTTTTACTACATATAAGATCCTAGATTGATGACAGTCTTTCTTTCAGCACTTTCAATATCATTCCACTCCCTTTTAGTCTCCATGGTTTCTGATTAGAAATTATCTGCTAATCTCATGAGGCTTCCTTGTGCATGATGAGTGGTTTTTCTCATGCTGCTTTCACAATTCTGTTTTTCAACAGTTGATTATGATGTGTTTAGATGTGACTTTACAAAATTAGTCCAGGGAAGTCACTAAACACACAGCAATTCCACCTCTACCACCTCTACCCGTACCCCCCGCCCTGGTGTCACCCCATATCAACAACAAAAATCCTGGAGAGGAAGGGAATCTCATTTCCAGAGTTGCTACATTTTTTTTTTTTTTCTTTTCTTTTGTTTTTGGTGGCTGGCTGTATGTGGATCTGAACCCTTGACCTTGGTGTTAATAACACTGTGTTCTAATGAACTGAGCTAACCAGCCAGCCCTGTTTTATTCTATCTTGTGGGCTGAGAACTGGTTAAGACAGGAAGACAAGGAGCAGGAATGACTGAATAATTATCTTGAAGAATTGATAGTAATAAGTCAGAAATGTGCTAGACATGTCAAGAATGGTATTAGAATCAAAATTGTATGTAGTGTTTTAGGTTTGGTCCCATTCTTCCTGTTCCATTTGCCAAGAATATCTGGAAAAGGCTTGTAAAGCATACCTGAAATAATAAATGGGAAAAAGAGACTTATATACAAGGACAACTAAAATAATGTTAGAAGGAAAGACTGAGGCCAGCCCATGGCTCACTCGGTGGAGTGTGGTGCTGATGGCACCAAGGCCACGGGTTCGGATCCTAAATGGGGATGGCCGGTTGGCGTACTGGGTGAGCGTGGTGATGACAACACCAAGCCAAGGGTTGAGATCCCCTTACCGGTCATCTTTAAAAAAAAAAAAAAGAAGAAGAAGACTGAGAGAACTCCTACTTAAAATGCATGGAATTATAAGTGATGTGTATTGAGGACATGAATTTTTTGTTGAATTATTAGAAATGTTGGGCATACCTTAAAGTTCTTAAAATGCATGGAATTATAAGTGATGTGTATTGAGGACATGAATTTTTTGTTGAATTATTAGAAATGTTGGGCATACCTTAAAGTTTGAAAAGGCTAATATAAGACAATAAAAGGAAATACCACTTTAAAAATACATTTTTAGGGGCTGACCCATGGCTCACTTGGGTTGAAAAGGCTAATATAAGACAATAAAAGGAAATACCACTTTAAAAATACATTTTTAGGGGCCGGCCCGTGGCTCACTCGGTAGAGTGTGGTGCTGATGGCACCAAGGCCACGGGTTCGGATCCCATATAGGGGTGGCCGGTTTGCTCACTGGCTGAGTGTGTGGTGACAACACCAAGCCAAGGGTTGAGATCCCCTTACTGGTCATCTTTATAAAGAAAAATAATAATAAATAAAAATAATAATAAAAAATAAAAATACAATTTTAGAATTTCTTTTCCCAAGAAATGAGTTAGGCAGAAAATCTGAAAGTTTAATTAAATTTTTGAATTATAGATTTATGAATGGTTTCAAAATTTTTAGTATTTCTTGGAGAGGAAGAGATTCTGGAAGCCATTATAGTGGTCTCTGAAACATTCCTTGGTGCACCATCTGGAAGTAAATGCTAAGTTAGATGTATACTGATGTAACTCAGTATGGCATTTATATTGTTAGGATGATCTGTACTTATGATTGTTTATGTAAAAGTGTCTTGTGTCTCTTTTTTTTAGGTTCGTAAAAGAAGGAGACACAGTGTCTCAGTTTGATAGCATCTGTGAAGTTCAAAGTGATAAAGCTTCTGTTACCATCACTAGTCGTTATGATGGAATCATTAAAAAACTCTATTATAATCTAGATGATATTGCCTATGTGGGGAAGCCATTAGTAGACATAGAAACGGAAGCTTTAAAAGGTACTGTAAATTTGTTCATGCATTTAACCAAATTGATTACTGCTGTTCTTTTGTCATTGGGTCCTAGTTAAAAATGACACTTAATAACATAGGGTTTGAGTTGGGGGTTTAGAAGCCACAAATCAGAAAAATGAAAAGGTTCTCTATGATGCATGATTACCTTCTGCATGTTACCATGTTAAAAGCATTTACAGTAACACGTCATTTATCTGGAGGCTTGCCTTGTGAAAACCTTAGTGTTTAAAGAAGCAACAAGTTCTCAGGAAGGGTTGGGAAGGAGGGATTACCAAGGAGTACAAAGATACTTTTGGGGGTGATGGATATGTTCATTGTCTTGATTGTGGTGTTGGTTTATAGGTAAATACATATTTCAAAGCTTATCAAATTTTACATTTTATTTTTTATCTTTTTAAAAAGATGACCGGTAAGGGGATCTTAACCCTTGACTTGGTGTTGTCAGCACCACGCTCAGCCAGTGAGCGAACCGGTCATCCCTATGTGGGATCCGAACCCGGGGCCTTGGTGTTATCAGCACCGCACTCTCCCGAGTGAGCCACGGGCCGGCCCCAAATTTTACATTTTATATATGTGCAGTTTATTGTATGTCAGTTATACCTTAGTAAAGCTCTTAGGACAAAATTAATGTGATTGGATAGGTTATGTTCAGAGTTAAAATAATCTGATATTCCTTATAGCGAACTGATCACTTGTTAGCTGTTCTATTTTGTTTGCCATTCATAGTTTATTCTGAACAATTACCTTGCATGCTAGTTTTATTTTGCACCTTTTTGCTTTTACGTTTATATTTTCTTATTATTTTTTATTTATTTATTTATCGTAGAATAAACTATGAAGCATAAGCCAAATAAGCAGACCAGTAGAACAGCAAAATCAGCTTACTGAGAGAAATTTATATATGCCTGCTGTGCTAGGCTAATGTCAGAATCCTGTCGACATAGCCAATTGCAAAGCTCTTTATCCTGTTTGTGTCGCCAATTGTAAAGCTACATGACCACGCCAGTTGTCGGGTTCTTTTATCAGCCCGTAATCCTGCACCAACTGGGCCAACTGTCGAAGCTAGGGCTGGGTCTGGAGCTCACAGACCCCTCAAGTCTGTTGTCCAGACTGGGACAAACCGTTCATACGCCAGGCTGGGTCACCTGACCCCTCACACGCAGGCTGTGTCCCTGACCCCTTACACGCAGCTCTATGAACTAGGTAACCATCAAACAGGTCCTCGGAAGCTGTCGGTTCGAAAAGCATGACTGCTTGTGGAGGCGGCTGCCGGAGGCACTAGACGTCAGTGAAGGTGGCGGCGCTGCGCAGGCCACTAACTCCACCCACACAACCTGTTCTCAGCAAATGCTCGCAAGATTCTGAACATGTGAGGGGCTCTGACCGTTTTCCTATATTTTCCCAACAATGCCTCATTTTAATTCTGGAAATGGGAAAGGTTTCTAAATATTTTGTGTACCTTTTCGTAAGCAAGAATTTGTAATACTGAATTTGTTTGTATTGTTCCATTTTAGTGCTAGTAAAAACAGTTATACTATATATTAAAAAACTACCTAACACAAAGCCTTCTAGAAGTATAAATTACCTTATTCACATGATACTGTTTTATAACATGGTTACAGTCTGCTTTTCGAGAAGAGTGCCATGAGGATTTCGATGAAGGAAACTGTATTTGTGACCTCCGAGTCCCATCTCTGAGTGCTTTGACTGCAGATTATTATCTACATGTGATACGTGCAACATTGAGACTCTGAGAGATTAAATAACTGATCTATGGTCACAGCAATGAAGTGGTGGAGCTACAATTTGGCCCTAGCTCTGTTCAATTCTAAAGGCCCTTCTCCTAGCTACTTTATTTACACTGAAAATTTGGTTTAGAGAGGATGGGTATCAGTTTCATTCTGTATATAGAACAATGGGACTAAATTTCTAACACTGTACATATGCATAGGTACAAAATTCTGCTTATAACACAATTTAGAGTCTATAAGTACCTAGAGTTTATAATATTGAAATGGTTACTGGGATAAATAGAAAATATTTTCAAGTTAAAGAAAAAGCTCTTTAACATAAAACTGTTTCAAGAATGTAGCATGTCATTTGGTTAAATTACATTCACTAACATATATTGAATGGTACAATGCCTGGGTATAGCGGGTGCTCAGTAAAGGATAACTATAACTGTTAATGTTGTACAGCCAATTGTACATTGAATTGATTGAATTAGCTGTTTCAACAATTTGAAGTGAAAAAGAAAATGCAGTGAGATCTCATTAGTATGGATGTCATTAATTCTCAATTTATGATGATTTGGACAGAAATTAAACTAAAGTTTATATTTGTGCTATGAAGAAAGGTCTTCCAAACAGACTCAGATGCTTTAGTATCTCAAAGCATTTTCTCCAAAAGATTTTCCCTCAGTTAAGTGAGTTAATTGCCCTACTTAATGTTCTTAGAAATAATTTTTGAAATACCTAAGAATATTGTAATTTCACAGTTTTATTACTTTTACCTATTCAGATTACCCTTTTATTTATTTATTTTTTAATTAATTAATTAATTTTTTAAAAGATGACCAATAAGGGGATCCTAACCCTTGACTTGTTGTCAGCACCACGCTCTCCCAAGTGAGCTAACTGACCATCCCTGTATGGGGATCCAAACCTGCGGCCTTGGTGTTAACAGCACCACACTCTCCCAAGTGAGCCATGGGCCGGCCCCCAAATTACCTTATTATTTAATTGACCTGAAATAATGTGGTTTTATTGTAAATTTGCTTCACATGAGGAAGTACATCAACACTAAATTGACAGGCTTCATGAGGAAAAAGTGCTTACTTCCCAAATGTCTTTTGCTCTTTCTTAAAAATTGAGTTAAAAAGCTTTTAAAATTGTACTCTAATTTACAGAAGATCAGTTGTTGAAGACTAAAATCTCACAGAGTGTAATGCTAGAACCATTAAAATCATATCAATTGGGAAGTCATGAATTTGAGTTTAGTCTTAACTCCTTTCCCCTTAGAGTATGTGTCAACATTGGTAAAATTGAGAAATCTGCCCTGTATACTAATAACATTTTTGTGATCATCAAAGGAGAAAATATGTGTAAAGACATTTTGAAAGTTTTTAAATGCTGTGTAGTCAGGTGGTATTTTATTACTTAGAGCTTTCTTCCAGCAACTCCATGACAAATAATATATGAGTGATTCTTACAAGTAAGTCTATCATTCATATTTACACCCAAATTATTCTAAAAGGCATTAAGTACTATATAGGTAATATATCACAAAATGTTTTCCAGAAATGTGAGTAGCAGTAAATTACTTGATCTTTTGAAAATATGATCTTTTGGTGTATGATATATTTAAGTATTTATACATTTCTTTTACTTCAGCAAATATGCATTACCCCAAGCTGTATTTGGAGTTTCTGTAATTGAGTCCCTGATTTCTTTGGATCGTAGGTCCTAATGTTAATCTTTCTTATTAGTCTCTCCAATAACTAAGAGAAATGGAGAAAATAATATTTGGAGTTTCTGTAATTGAGTCCCTGATTTCTTTGGATCTTAGGTCCTAATGTTAATCTTTCTTATTAGTCTCTCCAATAACTAAGAGAAATGGAGAAAATACAGGGATTCTTAAAACTCAACAAATTACACCTTGAACTGTAGGAGTTATATTCCAGCTACTTTGACCAGAAAGAAAATTTACTACATCCATGAACTTATGGAAACAGCACAGAGTGAGTTGGCCCTGGGATTGAAGTTCAGCTCTTGGATTTATTAGGTGTGTGACCTTGGGCCAATCCCTTCATCTCTCAAGCCTCACTTTTTTCTTAATCTATAACATGAAGATTATAGTACCTATCCTATACAGTTGGGATGAAGATTAAAGTAAGATATTGCATATGTAGCACAGTATTTGACACATAATAGGTGCTCACCTTTTTTCCCCTTCCCTGTGTTACCCTTAGGGGAATTTTTTAGAGCTTCTCTGGCACAATTCATAGTCTCGTGAGAAGGAATGAATAGACTAACTTTCCACAGTTGCAGCAGTTGAAAATTTTTATTTGCCTGGAATTGAATGTCAAAGTAAACCCAGTTTTCTGATTTTCAGAAGTTTCATCAGTCTTTAATTTACCAGTCCAGATAGAGATTCTACTGTACATCATTGATTTCCTAACAGCAGACTTTGATAATCAAATGCTCTCAAAAGCTTTTTTTTTTTTTGCTTGCTCACAAAAATACATGCTAATAGCCTGAGATAGTTTTTCTTATACCAGGATTCCAGAATTATTGAACACTGAATTAGTATTAGCCACAGCATTTCTTAAGCCATATTCAAAGCAGAACAAATTTTTATTTATTTTATTTTATTATTTTTTTTTTTTTTAAAGATGACTGGTAAGGGGATCTCAACCCTTGGCTTGGTGTTGTCAGCCCCACGCTCAGCCAGTGAGCCAACCGGCCATCCCTATATAGGATCTGAATCCATGGCCCTGGTGTTATCAACACCGCACTCCCCTGAGTGAGCCACAGGCTGGCCCAGAACAAATTTTTAAATGCTGTTGTCATCTTAGGAAAATATTTAAGATTGTTATGGATTTTATATTATTATTTTATATAATTTACTTCACATTTGATTTTTTATTTCATGTTATTTATAAATATAAATCAGAATTATATTAGGAAAATGCTTAAGATACCTGTTTTAAAATTTATGAAAGAGACTCTTATTTTAGCTTGTACCTGCTATGTATGATTTTCCACAAAAGTAAAATATATACCAGGTACTAATAATTAGACAGTATCAGGCACCAATACACACTGCCCCCGATTCACTCCGTATCCACCATTAGATACTTGCATGTCTTTCCAGTCTGTGTTTTTTTTGGTGGTTGGTTGGTATGGGGATCCGAACCCTTGACCTTAATGTTGCAACATGGAGCTCTGACTGACTGAGCTAACCAACCAGTCCCTTCCCATTCTGAAGTAGCCCAACTGTTAGGCTTTTTTTTTTTTTTAACGGTGACCGGTAAGGGGATCTTAACCCTTGACTTGGGGTTGTCAGCACCACGCTCTTCCAAGTGAGCAAACCGGCCATCCCTATATGGGATCTGAACCTGTGGCCTTGGTGTTATCAGCACTACACTCTCCCAAGTGAGCCACAGGCCGGCCCTTGGTAGGCATTTTGACTATAAACTTTAAGTTGAATTTATTTAGATATAAGCCACTAGGATTTTAAATATTTTTATATATATATATATATATATTTTTTTTTTTTCTACTGAAGTAAAGTTTTACCTTGTTACCAGATTCAGAAGAAGATGTTGTTGAAACTCCTGCTGTGTCCCATGATGAACACACACACCAAGAGATAAAGGGCCAAAAAACACTGGCGACACCTGCCGTTCGCCGCCTTGCAATGGAAAACAATGTAAGTTTTCTTAATATTTAAGCCTGAGATTGCATAGTAGGTATATATTTTTATCTCTGAAAAATTAGCCAACTATTTCATGATGAAATGGCTCAAGTCGGGATTAAAGAAAACATGCAAATGTCTGTTACTGAAAACTGATATTTGCATAAAAATACTTGGGAGAAATGAGTAGAAATCATGAACTTGTTACTTAACATTGAACAGTCTGGTTTTATTATTCCTTCTTAGCACCTAGTAATAGTAAGAGCTACTGTTTATTGAGCACTTGTAAATACTAGTGTCTTAGGTCAGTGTGGGTGTCCTAGAAGCACAATTTGAGTTAGGAATTTGAATGCATATGGTTGAATTATTGAAGGAGTGAAAACCTGCAAAGGGAATGAGGGAAGCAGAATAGGAAAGGGAAGAAAAGAGAAGGGAAATGTCCAGGCATGGATGTGGTATCAAGGATTTGGCCTGATCCAAAGGGGATGGGGAGAACCACAGAATTGTACTGCTTTGAGGCAAGGAAGCCAGCCTTTTGTGTTCTTTGTGCCAGTCATTGACTGAACAGAGGGTAGAATGCCAGGCAAGGTGGCTCCCTGGCACTGTAATAGGTATTTACATATAATCTCATTTAACCCTATGAGATAAGGGGCTGTTCTAAGATTTAGAGAGATAAAGTACACAGCTAACACAGCAACAGAGCCAGAATTCAAAAGTGAGTCTAAGTCACTTCAAAACCAGTGCTCTTAAACATGATATAATACCTCGTCAATCATTGTCTCCATTATTTAAGCATGTATGTGCCAGATACTATACATACATTATCTCCAATTGTCACAACAGCTCTGCAGGATAGTTTGGATTATCTGCATTTTCTGATGAGAAGGGGCAGGGAGGTTGAGTAACTTATCTAAAATCAAGTAAGCTAAACTGGGGATTTGAACACAGTTCTGTCTGGGTCCAAAACCTAAGTTCTTTCTACTGTGTCCCACAATGCAGACTTTTTGTTTGTTTTTGAAAAAAGTAGTTGTTATAGTGGGAAAAAACCTAAAGTTTGCATTTTGGAAATATGTGCAGGTTGAGTATCCCTTATCTGAAATGCTTGGAACCAGAAGTGTTTTGGATTTTGGAATATTTGCAGAATACGAACTGGTTGAACATCCCTGATCTGAAAATCGAAAATCCAAAATGAGTATTTCCTTTGACTGTCATATCTGCACCCAAAAAGTTTTGGAGTGGAGCATTTTGGATTTCAGGTTTTCACATTAGGTATGCTCAGCCTGTAACAGAATCATTAAAATGTTCATACCCTTTCAGCCAGTTATCCTGCCATTAGAGAACTATTCCAAGAAAATTATCTGGAATATGTTCTTCCTGTGTTTTATGTATTGAAAAATGAGAAGATATATTTGTGTTCAAAATCAGGGAAATGCTTAGGTAAATTATACTATACACTTGATGAAATTTTATGTAATGATTAAATGTGTTCAAATATGAAGACTGTTTAATATAATAGAAAATAGAGATTGTAATAGGAATTGTAATACAAATTCCATTGTAATATGGAATACTAGGTTGTTAAGGACATCAGATGAAATACTTATTTTATATATTGCTTTGAAAACTATAAAGCATTTTACCAATTTATTTTCCTAACTGTGTAGAAAGATCACCTGTAGAAGAAATACATGATTTAGCTCTTCTATACCACTTCCTAAAGATGTGTAAAAATTTGTATGATTCGAAGAAGTTAAGTAGTGGATTTATTATCATAAATCACTTGTATCTCTTTTCTTGCAGTTTGCATATTTATGGATTGAATTTGTTTACAATTAAAAAATCAATGACATTTTAGTTGTTTGTAATTACCTAAAAATTACTTGTTTAAATTCTGAATTTTAAAAAAAAAAGTCTGAGTTCATTTGTTATAAACTTAGTGTTTGACATGATAAAGTGATTTATTTTTTTAAAGTCATCCTTAGAGATGCACTAATACAAATGAAGTCAGGCTTAACCCTAATTAATTAATGCACACTATGTTGGAGGATATCATCCAAGCTTATGTGTTTATTTTTATTTAAATAGAATTAAATGTTTTGTACTGATCTTGCCAAAACAACCATCAGAAAAAAACTAATCTGAGAGAGCTTTTGTATGATTATTTAAGCTATTACATGTTTAACTGGTAGCTGACATCAGAAACATTGTTCTAGGGCCGGCCCGTGGCTCACTCAGAAGAGTGTGGTGCTGATAACACCAAGGCCACGGGTTCGAATCCCTATACAGGGATGGCCGGTTTGCTTGCTAGGGAGAGCGTGGTGCTGACAACACCAAGTCAAGGGTTAAGATCCCCTTACCAGTCATCTTTTTAAAAAAAAAAAAAAGAAACATTGTTCTAAATTTGTCAGTATTTATTTCTTCTTCAAATTCTCAGTTCTCCTTCTTCTTATGTAGTCTCCAAGAATAGAAAAGATCAAGTAAGAATTATGTGAGAGATTTAAAGGTACCTGACTGTTTAAATATGTAAGTTTTCATAAATAGCTATGGATTGTATAAAGTAGGTAGCTCATAGTTACCACATTGGCAAGTGAATGAAAGTAACAAATGATTCCTTATGTGGGGTAGCTGTGGTTCATCTACTGAGATAATGAAAATCTTATTTCTTTACACTGATTTATTAGGCAGAGATGTATTTTTATTTTTTTTATTTATT